GAACACATGATAACACACCAACTCTTTGTCAGCTTCAACCAGACTGAAATGATCAGAAAGTATAAAATACAAAACTGAATCTCATATTCAATTAATCAGTTACAAAATTTCTTCAGCGTATCTGTGTATATTTCTCCCAGCTCTTACAACCAAGAGGCTCTGAACCAGGAGTGTCCAATCGTGGTCCAAACGACTATCCTGCATGTTTTAGATGTTTTTGTTTCAACACATCTCATTTGTTTGAACGGGTGATTAACAGGCTTCTACAGAACTCGAAGAAATCACTGAATCAGGTATGTTGGTGCAGGGAAATGAGTAAAATATGCAGGATAATGACCCTTGAGGACCATAATGGGCATTCCTGCTGTGAAGTTTAATGACATTAATAAACTTAAAACAGTTTATCCAGACCATTTTATCCAAGCTAACTGAAATACTTTTCTGCCCACCTGTTCACCTGTATATTTAATGTGTAATCAGAGCATCTAACATGTTGGATTTGATGTACCATAACAGTAAAGAGGCTTAAAAAGCAGCTCCTTCATTTTTGAATTGATTTTCAAAAAGGACAACTAAAAAGAATTTACCTGGTGGGGAAGGAGGGATCATAGACAAAGTTCAGCAGCTCCTGTGGATATCCAATGGACACCAGACGCTCCACTGTCAGGTCAAACCCCAACGACTCGTATTCAGGAGATTTATACACTACAGAGGAATCAGACAAGCTCATGTCACCAAACAATGTTTTTCTTTCACCACACAATCTTTCAGATATTAAAGAAAATTTAAATTACAAATGAATGAATCTGGTAAAAAAAAGGAGATAAAATTATCTGAACCCAAGGATTTCCTTCACAGGCAGAGCATTTACATTAATGTGACAATTCTAAGATTTAGAGTTGCCCAGCTTATTTATCAAATACAATGTGAATGTGTATGTTGTGTGTATGTAGGGGAAATATCTAAATAATAATCAAACAATAAAAATAAAAAATGAATACTATTTTAGCTTAAAAAGCCCATCCCTAGCAAGTAAAAACAAATGAAACATTTCTTTATTGTAAGTTTTTTCAGCAGTGACTCTGTTTGGTAACAAATACTAGGGTGGGATTCAAAATGTATAATAGATTAACAACATGACGTCCTGTTTCAATGTTTATTTTTTAACAAATCTGACAGTAAGAAACCTCAACTTCTATTTATTTATTTTAGTTCTGATTGCAAAGAATGTAAATGCTTAACTTACCAGCAAGAGTATAATCCATATCAAATCCAAAGCACTTAATTTTCTCCATTGCCAGGCTTCGATTGACAAACACTCTAAAAGGAGAGAAAAGCATAAAAAATGCATGGCTCTTGTTCTACATTTCTGAGTATCAAGCATCAAGTGAATAAAACAACTACAGCTACTTGTTTTTTGGAACTGATCAGTTCATGTTCAGTTAAATAAGCAAAGCAGGACTTATGACTTGCTAGAGGAACCTTTGTTTAAGTCCTTTCCTTTAGTTGATCGAGGTTTTCAAAACTCTCAGGAGGAAATCTGACCCACTCCTCTTTACAGAAACTCTTTAAATCCAAGGATTTTTGCCTGTTACTTTGAACTCGAAGCTTCAACTCCCTCCACAGATTTCCCATAGGACTGAGATCTGAAGACCTGGCAACGCCACTTCATTGCCATCCTGTGCTTCTTCTTTAGCCACTCCATTGTTGCCTTGGTACTTTTTGTGTCATTGTGATGTTGGAAGACCCACTCACAACACACCTTAGTGTTCTGGCTGGGAGAAGAAGGGTTTGTTCAAGATTTTATGGTACATTTCTGTCCATTCTGTCCACTGTGGTTAAGTTAGCCTATACCCCTAGCAGAAAAACAGCCCCACAGTGTGGGGATGGTTTCCTTTACTCAGCATGTCTCCTCCTCCATACACAGTAGGTTACTTTGATGCCAAAGACCTCCATTTTTCTGACCACAGCAATTCCTGCCAAGCTCTTCTCTGAGATGCTTACTGGCAAACCTAAGATGACCCTGCACATGTGGCCTTTAGAGTAAAGGGACCTTGCAGGGTCTGCAAGGTTTCCTTGGGCAGCACAGTGGTTTTGTGGTTAGCACCTCACAGCAAGAAGGTCCTGGGTCCAAGCCCTAGTTTGGGCCAGAGGCATTTCTGTGTGGAGTTTGCATGTTCTCCTCATGTTTGCATAGGTTTCTCTAGTTTCAGTCCACCAGTTTCCTCCCAGAGTCCAAAAACATGGATGTTTAGGCTGCCTTCAGACCCAGGCCTCTCTTGACCAAGATGTGTGATCTCAGTGGGTTTTGACCGTTCAGACCATTACAGTGTAGTGGGTTAGCAGAGCCCAAACAGCCTTCAGTCATTAACAAGCTCCTCCTGTGTGGTAGTGGGCTGATCTTTCTCATCATCATCCTCACCCATGAGTCAAGATCCTACATAAAGCATCAGACGGAGTGCGAATGATGGTCATTTTTATATTTTTGCCTTTACAAATAACTGCACCGAGAGCTGCCATCTTCTCATGAAGCTTCTTATGGACATCCTTTGAAAGTTCTGTGGTCTTGCTCATGGTGGTAGAGAGGGTAGACAATCGAATATGTGTGCCGTGTGAGCACATAACTAATTGAAGTGAGCCAGAATCATGACTAGCTGATAGTGATCAAATATTGAGTTCCGTCCGTGATTTGCAAATCAGTTCATAATTTTAATGTAATATGACATTTTGAAGTTTAGGTTGCTGTTTAGGCAGGCAAACTAATAAAATCAACACTTAAATGATTAAAACGTGGCAGTACAATTCAGAATTTTTTTAAGTAGCTGTTAATTTGTAGTATTGTACGGGTTAAGGAACATAACACTTTCAAGATTTATCTTTTGTTGAAAGCAGCGATAAAAAATGATTTAATTTACAATTGAATTAGCTAAAAACCTTTCACTGTGGACAAAACAAAAACAATGTGAATGGCACTATTGTTTGATAACAAGCCTGCAAACAACTCCATATAAATTAGAAAAAGACCTCAGTAGTGTTTATTTTATTTGCTCTTCTTTGTTTTACAGCTGTTGCTTACAAAAAAGGAGAACAAACTCAAAACCAAATTTCGAACTAAATGTCTTGTGCAATTGGTCTTCCTTCCTTGTTTTTATTATTGCTGATTAAATCAAAACATTCAAATTATACAATGTCAACATATAATTTGTGACACTTCTCATACTGCACATGGGATTCTACAGATAATGAGTGAAATGACATTGGATTATCAATAATGGAGCAAGATTAGGAAAAATACAGAAGCAAGAAGAAAAAGCAAAACTGACATGGAGCACCAACTGGTAGTTAATCACTATGAACCTAGTTTTATGAGGAATAAAGTCACACCATGAATGTTAAAACAAAAAGGTCAATTAAATCAGCTGTTGCAGTTTGTTTCAACAACAAAAGAATTGCATACCTCATTGCAGGATGGTGTTGGGCCAAATCCTTTGGAAAGCTTTGTAATAGAAAATAGTGTAGCATTACCACCGAACTCATGACTGTTGGTCCTTCAGGCTACATCAGTCTGATACAATCTGACAGTAAACAATCTACACTCACTGACAACAAACATTAAAAGCACCTAGAAGATGGTAAAAAATAAATTAAACTGGGAGTACAACACTGATGGGCCCATGTCAGTAGAATAGGCACTGAATAAGCCTCCATATAAGATATAATTTGATGCAAAACCTAGTCATACACTCGTATTTTCTTCTGACCTCAAGATTCAGCAGACTGACTCTGAGTCAGAGTTAACACCCAAGCTGTCTGCACACATTTGACTGTGGAAAGATCAAAGACTTAGGTGGCAACAGGAAGACCTAAACATGACTAGACACAGTTCATGGACACACGTGTCAAATGTGGAAAAGTGTTGCGTTGTTAAAGACTCTCCAGTTTGCTGTCTAAGGAGGAGGAGCAAGGCATCAGGGTTCCCCAAATCCATACCAGGTGCCATTATGCAATGGTCATTTATACAAATGCAGAACTGGTCATTTTATAATTGAACATGACATAACACTTGTCACTCAGTTTTAGAAATACCAGTACTTTGCTAATTGAATTATGTAATATACATAGCTTTAGCTAATGTACGTGGGACCATATTACATCTGAATGGAACCATTCCATCAGGGTGCTTAAATTTTGTTGTCAGTAAGTGTATATTCTGTTGTAACTCAGTACTGTATTATCGCCCAATAACAATGACAAGATGTGCTTCCATTACCTGGCAGCGTCTAGTATTACACACAACAAAGACTAAGTAGATATCAACATTGTGGCATTTAAAAGCATTTTTCCAAGACAGACATAGATCAGAGCTCTTTTATTTTGTACACAGTTCATCTATGCGTGCGTTACCAAAATAATGTGAATGTAGATTTTTCTGTAAAAAAACGAAGCAAAAAAAACAACTTATAAAAATAAAACACAAAAAATGCAGCTCTGCAGAGAACCAGAACAATCATTATGAAAAGTCAAAAACCTGTTCAATAAGGAGCATTGTAGGAGTAGAGATAGTTCTTTTAAAACCTGAATATTATCTCATGAACAACGTGTTTTCAACAATGTTAGACACAGAAATGTTGGAGAAAACCAACATGTTACATTTATGGTTCTGCATTTATTGGTACTTACACTTTTTGACCTAAAACAAACTGTTGTCAGCTGTTGTTGAATGTGTAAATATGTAGAGACAATTTTGTACTTTTTCGATCATTTATATATAAAAAAGCAAATACTAACCCAAATAAATGTACAAATGTGTATGACTGGACACAAACAGAACAGGTGCAAGGGAAAAAAAGGTACTATAATGCTGGTAGATGCAGATTAATAAAACTCAGGGATTTTATTTGACAACAAACAAAAAGTGTCCCAGATGCAAACAAAAGGCAGATTTTTAGCCGCTTAACAGAGCCAAGTCTAAACGCCCTGTCACACTATAATGTTTAGACAACTTGTGCTTACTCATGAGATTTTTGTTTGTTATGACTAAATTAATAGGTTACATATTTGATCTAATTATTAGTATTACAGTATGTATATTAGGGCTGGGCGATATGGTAAAAAAAATGATCACGATTCATTTTTTTCATATTGTCCAATCACGATTAGTATCAAAAAATTTTGTTAATCTAAAAAGTGACTGAAAAATAATTTAACAAATAAATAGCTACAGAAATGGTGTTTAAAGATATTTACCAAGAAAAAAACAAAACTTATGTGTGAATCATAGAATCTCACATTAATAAAGTTATTTAAAGTTTTAGAAATGAATTTCACAGTAAATATGCCATAAAGAAACATTAACCCGACAAACAGCAACAATTTGTGCACACTTTGAATAGGATCTAAGCTCATTACTTTTGTTATGGAAGGAAGTAAATTTGGAAGTGGTCTTCATGTTGCGTCCAGCCCATCGTGTGCCGATGAAACTTACAGAAAAGTTCTCCAGATAAATGAAGAACCACTGGGACATTGTTCCATCCTAAACGTTACCCTAAGACTGCTTCATATTTTTAGAGGACGCTTTTGTTTTAGCGAGCCGCTAGGAATGCGCGATATAAACGATATAAGGTAGAAATGATACAAATTTGTCCTATGATAGAGATCTGTAGTCTACCGGCCACCCGCGCAATTGTTTTGATGACTTAACCGGCTGGAGTCAAAACAGAGGAAGCGTGGCTGAGAGCACAAATGAAGAGGGGGAAAAAATTTATCCGGACCTGGTTCGGGTGTGTGAAAATGAACGCCGAACTGTTGACATATTTATGTGATGGTGCGTCCTCTGGTCAGATGACGACCGACCACACTGCCTGCTGCAGGAGGAGCGCGCGCCGCGGCATGTGTGAAGGGCTCGACACACGGGAAGGAGACGTCGCTCGCTCTCCATTCATTTCCACGCAGCGAGGCGACTGTCAGTGCAGGTGAAGTCAGTGCTCAGGTG